GTGAATGTGTTTTTATAACCATAAACTTTAAGAGTGTAGTTTTAGAAATCTTCGCTTGTCAGTGCAGTTGTGAATGATTTGATAATGCAGTCATTGTTGGTGTAGTATTGTTCCCCAAAGTCATTTAGAAATTGCTACTATGTGTGAAGCCGTATGGAACCCAGTACAAACTCTTTTTCAGTTTTACTTTGACACATCAGGGCATAAATAACAGTGGGCAAAATTTTTTGATTATTATTATTAGTAGTATTATTATAGAATGTGAAAAAAAATTTTTTTCATCATCCCGTTATTAGAAGTGAAAGTTTTGTTAGTATTAGTTCTAAATACAAATGTAGACCTAAGTTGATTTGACGTGTATTTATTTGTCCTTCTTTAGGGTTAATTAATGATTAATTCACTGCAGTGGCATTGTTTCATTCTGAGCAGTCTGCTAATTTGAATGTTTTGATCAGGGACCCTTTCTTCGAAGGGATGATTCATGAAGATGAAGATGAGGATGATGATAATGGATTTCACCACGATGACTTCAATAGGCCCCATCGGGACCCGTTCAATGATGCCTTCAGATTTGGTTTCAGTTTTGGGCCCGGCGGGATGCGCTTCGAGGACCCGCAGCTGTTTGGCCAGATCTTCAGGGACATGGAGGAGATCTTTGCCAGTTTAGACCGCTTTGATGAGCGTCATGGCATTGGACACAGAGGTGCGTTTGTTTGCTCTGTTCCACAATGATTTTTAATTTCATTTGTTCAAAGCATTTCTTCATTCATTCCATGATTCTTATCTGAGTTTAGGTTTTGAAAGCTGATTAGGTGGATTTATGTGCCCAACAGGTGCTCCATCAGAAGAAGCTCCGCCTCCTCAGGAAGGTGCTGAGAAAGGCAGGGGTGGAGCAGGAAGTAGTAACCCGATTAGAGATTTCATGTTGAAGTCTCCTGACAGCTCACCCTACACATCACCCCTCCCTCCCCCCTCTGAGGCACCAAAGGACAGGCATTCCTCTTCTCCACAGGATCCCAGCAGCCACTTTCCTCAGTGGAGACCCTTCTCAAAGGTAAACCTATTTACAGATTCAGTGCTTTTAGAGTCTTTTCATGCTGGGTTGTCACCTGATTGTCTTCATTTTATTTGTTTAGTTCCATGATCTTTGGAAAGATGGCCTGTTAAAACAAAAAGAGGGAGAGAAAAAAGACAATGGAGGTAATGCATTTAGCCTCTTTTCTATGATTTAAA